CTGTTTGTTTATTGTCTGTCTGTATTTAGGGACCGTCATAAATGTTCTTCAGTCAACACAGTTACTGTCCGAATACGTGCTGTCGAAGAAACGACAATATTCCGCTGACCCTAGTATAGTATAACCAACCTTTGTGGGATTGTTGTGGTTAATTACCTACCGTACAATTGTGCATATTCTTTCTCGTTTCATGTCGATTTTGTTTCGTCTTAGGATTTGGAACTACAACTAAACCTGCAAAACCGTGTGAACCGGCTGTCAAATCTCCAGGATCTCGAAGAGGTATGTATTTCGCAGACATCATATTTTCTTGGTAAAGTTAAGTAAAATAACCAAGCTTGAGTCCACACATCATACACATCCATGGTATGCGGTGCTGGAGCTATGGCTAGAGAAACTTGTCTAGTTTGACGATGAGTGACCCTAATATGCATTTCGGAATGTTTTCATATGGTCAGAGATGCTGTTTCATAAATTCAGACCTGTATCAGTTGCTGCATAGAGACGAAATACTGACAGAAAGTATAGACAGACAGACAAAATCAATCTAGAACCTCAAATCGAGTTGCACTGAGCAGCCTTATGCATATTCGTCCAATAGGCAATCAGTCACCTATTATATGAAGGGTAATAATACTACCTAGTTGCTCAAACCTCAGCAGGTTGAACGGGGTTGGATTCCGTGACCCATTGGTTGAAAGTAAACTCCCTAACACAATGAACCACAGCTCCTCGTATAGAGCGAGTCGCTTCAAGGTTCCACACTTCATAGTAGCTTGCAAAGGACAACTGGGTAGAATATGACTGATATCAAAGTTGAAAAAGATCTAAAGAAGGAGTAAGAATTCAGAAATCAAGATTAGTGAAAATGTAAAATTCTTAAAAGACGTGAAAGAGTGAATAAATCTACACCGTTGTGATCGATCTTCAGTCGTGTCACCAAACTTCTCAAACCATTGATTCCTGTATTTCCGAGGACGCCAATCAGGCAGTCTACACCTCGCCACACATCTCATTCTAACAGTCAGAGGCTTCATGGAGTGGTGCTACGCCTTGGTCTAGCCAACGTGAAGTCTCCTCCAAAATGTAGCATCTCATGTCGAGGTTGGCGGTTGCTCGTCGTGTGCAAAATATATGCAGGCAACTTCAGTCACTGAAGGTTCACGACGTCGTCAGTGGATTTGTCTTGTGTGCCACTCTTCGCTTACCTCGACATTACCCACGCAGTGATTCCATTTTAAGTGAACAATGCTACGAATACATATACAGTCAGAAAAATGTAGTCTCTTTATGTCTTCTAACAGCCATGTCTCACAGCCGTATAACATTACAGAACTGACTGGAGCACAATATAATCGTCGTTTACTAGATATTCAGATATCTTACCAGTCAGCGCTAGAGATGACAAAAGTTGACACATGCCTAACAGACCTGCATCCGAGTTGAGATTTCGTCAGAAACTAGCTCGTTCAGTTTGATGCAACTCCCTAGGTAAGTGAAGTGGTCGACACATTCCACCACTACACTTCCTTTCCTTAAACTGGGAGTAGTTGTAGACCAGTCGTGAAGCATCATCTTACGTTTGGTAGGTGCGAAAAGCATGCCAAACCAACACAGATTTCTGCTCAGTGCGTTCAGAGGACCTTGCAATTTGTTTGCGTCTTCACCTAGTAGGGCAACGTCGTATGCGTACTCCAAGTCAGCCGCGTTCCTTCCTGGGAGTAGATCAGTCCTTGTGAAGTAGGAGGCATCTGGGGTTATATTCACCATTACATTTATGACGAAGTTGAAGAGAAGTAGTGATAATGGGCATCCCTGATATACACCACTTGTTGTCGGCGATTCAGATGACAAGTATCCATAAGCCCTTACACAACTGCTTGAGTTTGAGTGGAGAGCTTTGATTAGCATTAGATACTTGCTCGGTACTCCCTGTACAGTCAGACACATAGCGTTTCGACAGTGTCAAATGGTATAGGAACATGTACGACGATGCTAGGAAAGATGAGAAAATGATGCAGAAGGTTGATAATGATCTGAAAAAAACTTGGGTGCTGAATGGATACAAGGTTGGATGACACTTCCCGTGGCTTATACCAAGTTTCTGAAGGAGAACCTTAATTAGTTTTCTGTAACTAAAGACCCCAGGAGACATCTGTTAGAGGTCAGTCACACAGTCTTTTCAGAAGTTTGAGACTTAAAATTTTTTAAATACGGCTATAAACCTATAACATCAGCGTTAGGAGACCTCAGCACAAGGGTGAGTGTGCGGTTTTTTACGACCGACGTTTTTTAACTCACAATTTCCATCGAAAAGGTATCATCAGTGTGGTCCGCTGTTCACCCGTGAGAAGCATTTTACTGCTGTCAAATCCCATCTATCCGATCATACGACTTTGCCATCGAACCCCATCATACCATGGCTCCTTGTATTATGATGGTTACTGCTTTTTATCTTATCACTATCCAGAAGACCTTTCCGGTATACTAGTAACTCAGCGTACAAGCTTTCCGACCAACCTAGGTCGTTTGGTTATTGCCGTATGGAAGGGTGAACACAATACATCAGGGTAGCAGTTATCAGTCGGTAAAGTGTGATGTTAACATGTGATACTTCAATCTTTGATACTGATTAAGTGAATCTTGTCTCTATACATCAAACTTCCAACTTTTGATTTTTCCTATCATCTGATGGTTACAACTAGACTGGTTATGATGGACAACCTACTCACTCTGCTCACTCCTTTATGAGGATTTCCCAGTCTTATTCAAATATCTACCACGCCTAAATTTACTTCTGAAACTCGAATTTGTGAGTCATGACAAATATCTGTGAATGTCGCTTCTAAGGCAATAAGAGAATTCTCATTTCTTACCCTCGAAAACTTCTATTCTAAATAATCTGTGGATGGTTTTACCTGTAACGAAGAGAGCATCTTTTACTATGTCTTTGCTTATCAAAAGTCAGCTATTTGCCTTCTCGCTTTTGGCTGATCATTTCAAGGACTGCATAACTCCATGTTTTTACATTTATTCCTTACTACATGTGTTCAAGAGCTGGGAGTGGTATAGCGTTGTTTACAATAACCATTTCATGGTTTTAATGTAAGTTTAAAATTTGGGCAATGTGGCAAAATGCAATCCCATAGCAGATTAGTCTAAATAATATGGCACTGGGATATAGTATTATCTACTATATGATATTTCGAGCAGAATTTACAGCTCATAATCACGTCAAGCTAGTCACAACTTTCTGATCTGTTTTTTAAATAGTTTTGTTGTTTTCTATTCTTTGATGTAATTTGTAGTAAAAATTTCCATACATCCGGAATCAGTGCTGCGTCATTTTGACCACACGTCTTAGGTTTTGAATTGCTGAACAGGATTGAATGACCAACCTCTCCACTTAACTGCATTAGCCTTTAGGACTGTAACTGTCCCATCCTACCGTCCGATTGCGTGTTGTCTCATGCATAGCTACAGCTGAATTCTTTTCCGGGTTACCCATCTCATTAGGGTCTATCAATCTAAATTTAACTAGGTTCCTATATTCTGTTAATCTTACTGACTCAGTTGGGCTAGTTTGACTTATGTAATTGACCTCACGGTCATTGCACAGTATTTGGTAGATCAAATTACTGTCTAATTAGGTCGGGTATAATTCTTGAACTAACGAAGTTTATCTCAATGAGTTTGTAGATTTGAATGCCACCCTGATCCCAGCCTTGTTGAGAATCATACGTAGGGTTTCTGGTGTCTCTTCTTTATGTGACAACATTAGTGTTGTAGCTAGTCATGTCGCGCACAGTCTTTCATATATATTGTATCTATGCGTGATTTATACACAGTAGGATACTCATATGTCAGATGGTGTGAAAAACACCAAACCTTTCCTCGGCTTCATTTTACAATCTCAGCATAAACGAGTTAGTTTGAACAGTTTACCTGGATCTAGTTCAAATTTTCTTATTTCGAATCAGTTTGAAGGTTTAATACATCAGCAGAAGTTGTGGTGTATATTTTGAGGTAAAATATACGCTGATAATTGAGATAGGTTATCTCAAATTAACACAAGAACGTAAGCAGGTGGTGATGGGTCACCGGTTTAAGTCCCGCTCCTCCTACTGAGGTTTGAACAATCAGGTAGTATCACTAGCCCTCACACAATATAGGTATGGCTCATTGCCTACTACACGAGTGTGCACATAGTTGCTGAGTGAATTTTCACTCGAATTCACATGTTCAAGGTTAATAGCCGTTCCAATTTCCTTTTTGAACCGCCGGCTTTGCACATCAATATGAATTTTAGTATATACAGATGTCTCAACTAGATTTAGATCTAATGGTGTAAAGGCTTCAGGCGTTTACATAATTGATATTTGTTATTCCAAAACTTATAGCTCTTAAAAAACGAAGAAGCAAACACTTGAAACTGCAGACTTGAAAATAGTGAATAGATACCAATGCTTTCCTAACACTATGGGATGTTTTCATCTATAAATGCTGGTCATCATTTGAAATTAGTTAAGTACTCGTGATAAATACTTCTAGCATTTTCTGAGGCTGATAGTTGGAGTAAATCATATTCTATCGTCTGAAATTCTGGTATCAAATCATAACATCAACATATAAGTGTTTCTCAAATAAGAAATATTTAATAGTTACTGGTTCATATCATTCAGGCTAGTTCAATTACTGAATCACTATTCTTTGCAATAACTTATATATTTTGTGATAAAATAGCAATTACATATTTGCGGTAAATGCTCTAGTGAATTATTACCGACAACTTCTATAGTTCTTTACACTTTCTAGGTTTTATCATATATATACATTTGTATGACCTCAAAATCATATTTTTAATGACTTGTTGCATTTGAATTTCCAGAGTGGAATTTATTTGTGAGCACTTATTGTCAGTGAGGTTTCTTGTTCAAGAGTTGTAACTTCTGTGTGTGAATTTATGTGTTTGGCTTCAGTTTCTTCTCTCCTTTTCCAGGATGAAACCAGCAGCAATGAAAAAATTCCGCACAAGTCACTCTTCTCCACTCCCACCCAATGAACCAGGTACTCCTAAAAGATCTGTACCTGGGCCAACTTCTCCTCTACATTTTCTAGATCTCTTGCTGTTTTCAACTCTTCGACGACCGATATTTGTTGATCCTGCAATTAAAGCTGGAATATACCTTTGTTTAGCAGCTGGAGTTTCTCTCATATTTGACTTTGTAAGAGCTCCACCAACTTACTTTTCTAATAAACATAATCCGTTTAATAAGTTTTTCGTCAAATTGGGTTGGGCGTGGACATGTGGTTGTCTTGCAGCTTTCTTAATTGTTTCGTCTTTTGTGTATACGGGTGGTAATATCAAATTGATGCGTGCGCACATCTTACGCTTGGCTGTCGGTTCTGGTTGTTGGTATAGTGGTACTGGATTTATAAATTTGATTCACGATTGGACAGGTCATTGTCATCCAGCCTCTGTAACTCTTTCTAGTGGATCCCCTCCCAGTCATCGAATGTTGTGTCAGCGAGCTGGTGGTGTTTGGTTCGGATTTGATATATCGGGTCATTGTTTTCTGTTAGTTCTTTCTAACCTATGGATTATGGAAGAACTAAGATGTATGCAACACTGGAACAAACTGTCTGATATTCTACAGCTGAATAAGTATGATAACTCAAACTACTCACCTAATTTCAGTGGTACTCGGCATGTTTCTGAGCAGCAGCTGAACATAATGCGTTCAAGCTATCGAAGATTAACAACTGTCATACGGCTCATATTTTCATTCACTGCTTGCTTGTCGATGCTTTGGGATATCATGTTCCTTTCAACAGTTGTCTATTTTCATACTATGCCATCAAAACTTTTGGGGACAGCGCTTGCCGTGGCTTGCTGGTTTTTATTTTACCGAGTCATTTTTCGCAGTTGTTCAGCTGGTTCGTGGGGTGGCTTCGCTCCTGGCCTCCCTGGTGATGGTCCAGTTAAATTTGTATGCAATTAAAAATCCCTACGGACTGTCAGTAGTTATTGTTGAAACAGATCTTTCTTAACTCAATACAAGTACGTATATATGAATCGCTTGATCAGAAGTGGTTACTAGTCGAATTCACGAGATACGAAACTTAATTCTTCTCACTATAGTGGTTGTCGCAGGATGCCTGTAATCGTTCGTATCATAATGGAACTCTTAACTTTTTTTTTATAGTTAATATGTGTGTACATTTAACCTCTTATATTTTCACCTTATGTTTAATGTATCAATAATTCTTGTTCCTCGGGATCATTTTTCACATATACTAGAGTTTAGTTGAAAATGTTTGAATTGCTTGGTGTGAAAAATTTCGCTCTATTCCAGTCGAGTTTATCTTCGTAGTTCATTACACTTGACAGATGACATAAATGAGTATGAATGCATCACTGCTGTCTAATCAAAGATTCATGAACTGCAAAAACAATAAATGGATAGAAATGCAGAAAGCTTTCCAAAATTGTTACGATTCTCTGAAATGTTGAACACTTACCAAACATTCTGGGATATCTACTCACCACTGAGAATACTGTATATTTGAAACATAGTCACCAAATAAGAACATAGTTTTGAATTTAAATGTATCAACATGAATAAAAACCATGTCAATATAAATGTTTTATTCATGGAAGTCTTTTTCACGACTCTAAAAATAAGATTTGATTTAAAAGTTCAGAATTAAACTTCAAAAGGCAAGTATTTTACTTAAAATCATCTTATTGAAAACTTTGAAGGCTTTGTTTGAACACTTTAAAGACTGGATATAACGTGTGAGAAACGCTACGATATTCGTCACTAACACTGCCATAGGCAGTCTTCTTTGTTTGTATGTGTGAAATGTCACACACTGTCTTATTTGTGTCTTCTAGTTGTGATCATATCTATGAAATTCAATTGAGGAGTGTACATGAAGCTGTGGTGATCTCTAAAGAAATAAGCAGTATAAGAAAAATAAAATGAAACCGCTGGTTAAGTGGAACATAATGTCTTTCAGGTCATGATAACAAAGGGTATTCATAGGCTTGTCACTAGCAGTTAATAAAGATGACTTAAGTCTGAGTATTTATATATTGCAGGTTTTCTTCATGAGAACATCCTCGAGCCTCTTTTCTTGAAACGTCGTGAATGAGATGTTTGTTCTTATAGTGGGTTTTCTTGAAAATAAGAGGTAGAAAATCCTTGCTTGTTTTTACTTTTTTACATATAAGAACCATATGATCACGATGAAGGCATAAAGTTCTGTTAACTTTTTGAGTCGAAATTGGATCTGAAAGACCACGATTTTAAAAAAAGTATTGATTACAAAATGGTGTTAATCATTGGAGTAATATGAAACTGTTTTTCCTACTAAGCTAAGCACATGAGCTGCGAGACCATCATATTATAGACCCAGATGTTAAGGATCCAAATTCACATTCTTTTGATGGAGAATTTAGTGAACGTATTAGTCACTAGCAAGTAACTAAGGTAGTTGTCTAGTTCATAGTGTGTAGCGCTGATCCAAATCTGTGGACCACGTTTCGCAGTTTGGCTGCCAGGCTCAGTGATTTTGCACTGTGGTAACTCTATTTTGCGCTAGACAGTATGACAAGAACAACAGCAATTCTGGCATCTTGGTTTCGTGCTTCCCGGCAATCCAGATTGCCTTCGACTGTGTCATCAATACATAGCCGAATCATTTGCATTTAATAATCTTAGACTTGATTTTTATGTTCAAAAACACCATGCATTAAACAGCGTTTCTATGGAAAAAGTAATAATTCCCTTCAGTCTTCAGAAACTTCCTATTCCATTCTTGAACATTTCGGTCATTATATGTCCCTACTTATCAAGAGTAACCTGTTGTTTCGTTAAAATGACGTTGCCCTGCTCGATGAAAATGCTGACAAAATGTATGGTCCTATGAACGCACTGAGCAGAAATCTGTGTTGGTTTGGCATGCGTTTCGCACCTACCAAATGTAAGATGATGCTTCACGACTGGTCTACAACTACTCCCAGTTTAAGGAAAGGAAGTGTAGTGGTGGAATGTGTCGACCACTTCACTTACCTAGGGAGTTGCATCAAACTGAACGAGCTAGTTTCTGACGAAATCTCAACTCGGATGCAGGTCTGTTAGGCATGTGTCAACTTTTGTCATCTCTAGCGCTGACTGGTAAGATATCTGAATATCTAGTAAACGACGATTATATTGTGCTCCAGTCAGTTCTGTAATGTTATACGCTGTGAGACATGGCCGTTAGAAGTAGAAGATAAGAGACTGCGGGTTCTTAACCATATGTCTTTTTGGTTCCTGTGGTCTTCTGAGTTGTTTATGTTCTTTAAACAAGAGATATCGAAGGCCGCTTCGTGATTATGGAATGTAACACGGGAATTGATTTCTCTTATGCAAAGGACCTTAACGACAACTCAAAGTGCTACAAGAGAATGGAGACAATCGTGGTTCGAGCAGATAAAGGTTCAAGAGTGGTAATACTTAATCGATCTGACTACATCAATAAATTATAGATCTTATAATTTTATGGGTCAAGGTTTGATAAACAATGCGAACAGCATGATACAACTAAACCAACAAATTTTTTAACTCGGTGGTGCAAGTTAGAATCATCCAAGGGAAATCACTTTTCTCATGACCGTGGATACGTATTGGTGTTGAGTGGCAGCAAGCACGAGACGTAGGTCAAAGGCTTGCTGCCGACAGACTAACATCAAAAGTACTTGGTTGTTTATGCCCATTATATGCGTCTCATTGTTATTTGCACCTCAATTTCAGTGCTTTGAATTATTTACCCTTCTTGTAGGGAAAAAACCAATTTGGAGTTATTATCGCTGTTCCTGTGACACAATAAATCATACTACATAAGACCACAAATACCTGTTAAGTAGAAATTTGAAGGACGAATCGTTATCACTAAAAGTTTCATCAAATTTTCTTCAAACATACAAATCAAAACCTTACTGAGATTTTCTACATTGGTGTTAATTGTGTTTCTATTAAGAATTAATGAAGTATTTCGCTGCATCACGTAATAAGTCGTATTTTTTATGCGATAATCCATACATTTCCGTTTACGGTGTTACTCCAAACATGTATCCAGTGAAATGGATCTGGAGCATTGTAGTGCCTACTACTCATATAATATGAATCAGTACTGTATGATACTGTGTCTTTATGTAAACCGATAAAAGTTGAAAGTCTGCAAACGAAATCTTGAGGAAAGGAATATTCGGAAGCAATGTAAGATATGGGCTAGTGAGACTGAAGAGTGAAGTACCAGGGAAAAAATCAATGGTATTATCTACACAAACAGCATCACTATAAAAATAAACTTTAATATGAAATCAGCCAAATATTCTGTGTAAGGAACTGCAGCTTAGACACTGAAATGTTAGTAGAAATCTTGTTGTTACACTTTAAACATGCTGCGACTATGCTAAAAATAACTTATGATGATGATTAAACGGAGCTCAAATTCCACTAGGACACTCGTAACAACTAATTTAGGTACGCTAACTTGATAAATCTAAAAAAGACATTAAGAAGATATATTATAATTTATTTGTCCCTTGGGTTCGTAATGGAACATAGGGCTTCAGTAGCACGTCTCCAGTGCACTCTCCTCTCTGCAAACTTTTGAACCTGGCTCCACGACAGCCCACAAGCTCTCATTTCTTCCTCACACGATCTCCTCCATGTCACCCTCGCCTCAGACGCCCAACTCGTCGCTTCCTATCTTGATTCCACTCGAGGGCCTGGCCTGGTACGTGATGTCCCCAGGCGGCCGTATCAGTGTATGCCCAATCCATGCCTACTTCCTTCTAAAGCATATTTGTTGGGTGATAGGTTCTTGGTTGGTTCGTTGGACAGCCAGAGTTCCTTGTTGTTTATTCTTAGTGTTCTGGCCATCAGATCTTCAGTAAGGAGCCAGCGTAGGCAGTTTTTGATAAAAGACTGTAGTTTGTTGGGAATCCGTTTCGTAACCCGCCAAGTCTCAGCCATACAGAAGCACTGACTTGACTGAATTGGTGTTGAAAGTCATGATCTTGCTCCGCGTGCTGAATGCAAAAGATCTCATCACTGGTTTCAGACAAATAAACGCCTGTCTTGCTGTCTTTCCGATCCAGGCTGGCTCTGACGTCCACGTTTGTGCCACCGCCGCCTGTAGTTGAAACGATGCTGCCTACATAGGTAGGTGAAAGAGGCTACTTCCCTTAAGTTTCTCCCGTTGATGGTGATTGGAGCTTGTTGTTGTCGTTGGTGTTGGTTGGGTATCTTCATCACCTCCGTCTTCTCTACGTTCACTTGAAGTCCCATCTCCCTTCGCTGCCTCACCTCTTCTGTCAACTTGTTAGTTTTCGCCTGTATATCTTTAAGTTTGTGCGACATTAAACATAAATCACTGGCGAAATCCAAATCTTCTAGGATCTTTTCCCCGGTCCAGCGTATCCCCCTCCTCTCGCTCCTCACTGTCTGCTGCATGATACAGTCCACCACAATCAGGAATATCATGGGTGATAGTAGACAGCCTTGTTTTACTCCTGTCCGCTGTCTTCACTTAAAAGGCATCACTGAGCCTCCCATCGTGAATTACTTGGCATGTGGAGTCTTCACATAGTTGTTGAATGAGATTGATAACGGTTTGTGGTATTCCGTAGTGTTGAAGCAGCTGCCTGCCAAATACTTCTCGGTCGATGCTGTCGAAGGCCTTTTCAAAGTTGGCGAAGTTGAGGTAGAGAGTTGATTGCCATTCTATACTCTGTTCTATGATGATGCGTAGCGTTCATTTTTAGTTCTGTGGCTGGGCTGCAGGTGGCATTTCTGGACGAAGTGCAGGTGGTGGTCTACTCAAAAGCAAAACCCCAGTTGCTCAGCATCCAGCGCGACCCTCAGTGGGATGTAGATGTCGGTCGCGGTGCTCACCTAGAAGTTAGGAAGGCTGTTTCTAACCTCAAACGACGGAGGAAGGAGAACCT